CAGGATAGGGTTTGTTGTTTTTATTTTTATTTTTTGGAGACAGAGTCTGATTCTATCATCCAGGCTGGAGTTCAATGGCATGGTCTTGGTTCACAGTAACTTCCACCTCCTAGGTTCAAGCGATTCTCCTGCCTAGCCTCCTGAGTAGATTACAGGCATGCGTCACCATGCCCAGCTAATTTTTGTATTTTTTTTGGAGAGGGTTTTGTTATGTGGGCCAGGCTGGTCTTGAACTCCTGACCTCATGATCTGCTTGCCTTGGCCTCCAAAAGTGTTGGGCTTACAGACATGAGCCACTGCACCCAGCCATCAAGTCATCATTTTATTTAAGGAGCTTGAGGTTCAGTGGAGTGAAGTGACTCTCAAAAGTCACCCAGTGTCTGCAATCCCAGCCCTCAGGGAGATGGAAGCGGGAGGACTGACTGGGAGGTTGAGGCTACAGTGAGCTATGATTGTGCCCCATCCTCCTGTCTGGCCAACTGAGGAAGACTCTGTCTCAAAAATAAATAAAAATAAAAATAAGAGTCGCACAGCAAAGTGGTAGCAATATATATTTTTTGAGACAAGAGTCTCACTCTGTCACCCAGGCTAAAGTGCAGTGGCGTGATCTCGGCTCACTGCAAACTCTGCCTCCCAGGTTCAAGCGATTCTCCTGCCTCAGTCTCCTGAGTAGCTGCGATTACAGGTGCCCACCACCACGCCCAGCTCATTTGTTTGTATTTTTAGTAGAGACGGGGTTTCTCCATGTTGGCCAGGGTGGTCTCGAACTCCTGACCTCAGGTGATTCACCCTCCTCCACCTCCCAAAGTGCTAGGATTACAGGTGTGAGCCAGTGTGCTTGGCCAAAGTGGTAGCAATATTGAGACTAGGACCAAGGTCTTTTGACCCCCTGTCAAGTGCTCTTCCTACTACTTCCTGAGCATGGCATTCTTTATCACTTCCAAAATGACATTCCTAGCCAGGTGCAGTGGCTCACACCTGTAATCCCAGCACTTTGGGAAGCCAAGGTGGGTGAATCACCTGAGGTCAGGAGTTTGAGACCAGCCTAGCCAACATAGTGAGGTCCTGTCTCTACTAAAAATACAAAAATTACCTGGGTGTGGTGGCAGGCACCTATAATCCCAGCTACTTGGGAGGCTGAGGCAGGAGAATCACTTGAACCCAGGAGGTGGAGGTTGCAGTGAGCTAAGATTATGTCACTACACCCCAGGCTGGGTGACAGAGTGAGGCTCTGTCTAAAAAAAAATACCACAAAACCTGTCATCAAGAGGCAGCTTCCTTCTGCCCACCCCTTTCCTTTCTCTCCCACAAGCCTACCAGCCTCTGTTCAGCCAAGCCCAGAAGGGGCTCCAGATCTGGGGAAGGAGAGAGTAATGGGATGTGCCTTGGTTTCTGGCTGAAGCCACCTTCCTTAGTTTCCCTCCCACTCCCAAGAGCTGAAGAAGCCAAAGAAAAACGAGAGCAGCATTCCTTTCCGCAAGCCAGTAGCATCAAGCCTCGATGAGCTCCTGGGCCTGTAGCTACTTGCAAGGCTATATTACCAGTGACCCTCAGAGCCCTAGCTTCGTCCTACTCTCCCCTCCCCTTCTCTCACTGAAACCTCAGGTCCCCAGTGATGAGGAGCTCATCTCTAGACAAGAGAGGCTGATCCTGGATGTTAGACAGCGAGATACTACTCCAAACCTCAGGACCCATTAAATCTCAGGGCTTCCTGGAACTCAGATCCTGCACCAACACCATTCAATCCCAGAAGCGTTCCTGGCATGAAACAAAGATGTGATGAATAATAGGCGATTGAAACCTCCAGACATGAGCCACTCTTCATTAGTCTGCTTGGAGGCTCCGCCTAAAAACCTGAAAGCAGGCTTTGACTTCAGGCTTCACTCAGGACTGATTCCCAGCGAAGTCACGTTAACTCATGTGTTGAACACTGGCTATGTAACAAGTGCAGTGTGAGCGAGGCTCATTCGCTGGAAGAATGAAAGCTATGTGACCTTTCTTTTCTTTTCTTTTCTTTTGAGGCCAAGTCTTGCTCTGTCACCTAGGCTGAAATGCAATGGCATGATCTCGCCTCACTGCAACCTCCACCTCCTGGGTACAAGTGCTTCTCCTGTCTCAGCCTCCTGAGTAGTTGGGATTATAGGTACACCCCACCACACCTGGCTAATTTTCTGTATTTTTAGTAGAGATGGGGTTTCATCATGTTAGCCAGGCTGGACTTGAACTCCTGACATCAAGTTGTCTGCCCACCTTGGCCTCCCAAAGTGCTGAGATCATAGCTGTGAACCACCATTCCTGGCCTGCATGACCTTTCTGTCCCTCTGTTTTCTCTTGAAAATGAAAGTGCTAAGGGAAGATTTGTAAAAGCAGTCACAGGCCAGGCACGATGGCTTTTTCCTATAACCCCAGTGCTTTGGGAGACCAAGGCAGGAGGATCACTTGAGTCCAGGAGTTTGAGATCAGCCTAGGCAATATAGTGAGACCCTCTCTGCACAAAAAAGTAAAAAATTAGCCAGGCATGGTGGCATGCACCTGTGGTCCCAGCTACTCAGGAGGCCAAGAGGGTAGGATCGCTTGAGCCTAGGAGTTTGAGGCTGTAGTGAGTTATGATCATGCCACTACATTCTAGGCTGGGTGCCAGAAGGAGAGACCCTTGCCTCAAAAAGATACAAAAGTTTGCCAGGCACGGTGGCTTACGCCTGTAATCTCAGCACTTTGGGAGGCCGAGGCGGGCGGATCATCTATCACCCGAGGTCAGGAGTTCAAGACCAGCCTGGCCTAACGTGATGAAACCCTGTCTTAAAAAAAAAAAAAAAAGAAGAAAGAAAAAGATAAGAAAGTAGTCATGGCTGGGAGTGGTGGCTCACACCTGTAATCCCAGCACTTTGGGAGGCTGAGGTGGGCAGATTGTCTGAGGTTAGGAGTTTGAGACTAGCCTGGCTAACATGGTGAAACCCCATCTCTACCAGAAATACCAAAAAAATTAGCTGGGTATGGTGGCAGGTGCCTGTAATCCCAGCTCCTTGGGAGACTGAGGCAGGAAAATCGCTTGAACCTGGTGGCAGAGGTTGGCGGTGAGCAAAGATGGCTCCACTGCATTCCAGCCTGGGTGACAGAGTGAGACGTTGTATCAATTAAAAAAAAAAAAAAAGTAGTCACAGTAGGTGCTTAAAAAGTGGTGAGTGAAAGTGGCGCACGGTGGCTCATGCCTGTAATCCCAGCACTTTGGGTGGCCGAGGTGGGCAAATCACTTGAGATGAGGAGTTTGAGACCAGCCTGGCTAATATGATGAATCCCCATTTCTACTAAAACAAAAATTAGCCAGGCATGGTGGCAGCATCTGCAATCCCAGGTACTCGAGAGGCTGAGGCAGGAGAATCACTTGAACTAGGGAGATGGAGGTTGCAGTGAGTAAAGATTGTATCACTACACTCCAGCCTGGGTAATAGAGAGAAACTCAGTCTCAAAAAAAAAAAAAAAAAAGTGGTGGGTTCTATTATTGTGGGTGTAGGTATTGGAGTGTGGTGCACAGCTTATAGGCTCCGGGTAACAGAGCTTTAGCGGGGGTCTCTAGGCTCCATAAAAGCTCCCCCAGTCCTCAGCATTGGGGCTAAACTCTCCTAGAGCTGCGAAGGTTTGTGGTGTGTTGGGGAGGGGATGGGGTACTTTTCTAGAGAGCTTCATGCTTCCAGCCAACCAGCCCAGTGGTTCCACACTGCCCCCTAGCTTTGTTCATGCTCACCCCGTTACTCCCAAGTAACCCCTTCTTGCCAGAAAACCAGCACAGTCATCTGCACCCTCTCTCCTATTTCCAGGTTCTCTGCTGTCCCCAAGCTCTGACTCTGCTGCCATCCCCTTCTGCTTCCCCAAGCCAACCCAAGCCCTGTCAACCCTCAAATCCCTGAATTTTCCTGTCAATTTTTTTTTTTGAGACAGTGTCTTGCTCTGTTGCCCAGGCTGGAGAGCAGTGTTGCGATCATAGCTCACTTCAGCCTCAACCCCTGGGGCTCAAGCGATCCTCCCACCTCCGCCTCCTAAGTAGCTGGGATCACAGGTGCTCACCACCATGCCTAATTTTTTAAAAAAAATTTTATAGAAATGGGGTCTCACTATGTTGCCCAGGCTGGCCTCCAACTCCTGAGCTCAAGTGATCCTTCCATCTCAGCCTCCCAAAGTGCTGGGATTGTAGGCATGAGTCACCACAGCCTTGCTGTTGATTTTGTTAACCCTGCTTTTTCCTGGGGAGCCTCCTCTGCTCCTTCATGTGGCCTGGCTACTCCAAGAGGGGACCTGAGGCTCTAGGATCTCCATTTTGTTGTCTCTCCTGCCCTCCCACCTCCCTCCAAATTGCCACAGCCTCCCTCCAGGCCCTCATTCCCACAGTGCCAGGCCAAACCCCTCACCCAGCTCCCAGGCTGCAGCCTTCACCCGGCCGCTGGGAGCATGGTCCCTGCAGAGTCCCCTGGAGGTGTAGTTTCAGTTCTTGGTGAGGTGTGGGCATTGGGGCTGGAGTTCCTTCCCAGCAGGTGGATGCACCTTTCAAAGCCCCCCTGTGCGTCTGCAGATGCGCAACCCCCCACCAACATGCTCTTCAGCGCCAGAGAGTCAGGGTGGTGGGCTACCTCTGGGAGTCAGCAGTTTCCAGCGAGGCCTCCTTCACTGAGCCTTGGACAAGCCCTGTAATCCACACTAAATACCTTTCCTGTGGGATTGCTAAGGACAGCAGCTGGTGCGAGTGGGTCCTTAACGAATGACAGCTGTTACTGCCTTATAGCGAAAGGCCGAGTTGCCAAGCCTTTCAGCCCCCAGAAGGGAGTGGGGCCCAGAGCAGAAACCTGCTAACCCTCCTTTCCCCCAAATAGACCCACAGGTGACCCCCACTGGGCTTTAGGCTCTCACCTTAGGGGCCTCTCCCTGACCCACCCAAACTCCTCTCATTCCCTCCCACCATCCACAATCACTCCACACTGACTCAGAACTATCTGATATTTATTTCCCAATGTTTTGATTTTTTTTTTTTTTTTTTTTTTACAAATGGAATAGATGGAATGAAGGGGCTCATATGGGACCCCAGGCCTGGACTTGGGCTCCCGATGAGAGGTGACTCTATAAAGCATCTCCTCACCCACAACTTCTGGCCTGCTGCCCTGACCCCTCCCATCAACCTGACTAAGAGTGAGGTCGGGACTCTCTGAGGGTCTGGGGATCACCCCTAGAGGGGACTTTGGGCATCCAGTTTCAGGGACTGAACCGGCTTGGGTCTCGGGGTAGCGTGGCATCGGACGTGGTGCCGTCTGCGCCTCTCCTGCCTGCGGGACAGCTGCTGCAGCTGTTTCCGAATGGCCCACAGCACCAGGTACACCTCCCACAGCATCTCAGCCTCCGGCGTCTCCAAAGGTGACTGAGTCCTCACTTGGGAGCTAACTGAGGCAGAACTCACCGATGACTGTAAGAGAAAGAGAAGATGTGCACGTGCTAATAGCTGGGTCTAGGGAGAAACCACTGCTAGAACGACTCATAGATAAACAGCAAAGGGCTCCCTGATTCCACCTCTCCCATCAGGCCAGCTCAGACACACCTCCTCCAGGAGGCTGATGCAGGAGAATCACTTGAACCTGGAAGGCAGAGGTTGCAGTGAGCCGAGGTCTCACCGCTGCACTCCAGGCTGGGCAACAAGAGTGAAACTCCATCTCAAAAAAAAAAAATTCCTCAAGATTCACCCATGTTATTGGACATATCAATAGTTTGTCCTTTCTAGCTTTTACAATTTTTATTTGCGTGTTTGTTTTGTTTGTAGAGATGGGGTCTTACTATGTTGTCCAGGCTGGCCTCGAACCCCTGGGCTCCCACCTGGGTGTTTAGAAGGGCTAGGATCACAGGCGTGTCACTGCACCTGCTAATTTATCCCTTCTTATTGCTGAGTAGTATTCTGAGGTTTGAAAATATCAGTTTAACCATTCACGGGCTGAAGGACATGGGTTGATTTTGGCTGTTACAAATAAAGCTGCTATGAACATCCACATTTAGATTTTTTGTGTGGACATAAGATTTCATTTATCTGGGATAAATGCCCAAGAGTACAACTGTTGGGTCATATGATAACTGCATGCTTAGTTTTATAAGAAATTACCATTCTTGGCCAGGTGCTGTGGCTCATGCCTGTAATCCCAGTACTTTGGGAGGACGAGGCAGGTGGATCACCCGAGGCCAGGAGTTTGAGACCAGCCTGGTCCAATATGGTGAAACTCTGTCTCTATTAAAAATACAAAAATTAGCCAGACGAGGTGGTGGGTGCCTGTCATCCCAGCTACTCGGGAGGCTGACAAAGAGAATCACTTGAACCTGGGAGGCAGAGGTTGCAGTAAACTGAGATCAGGCTGTCAAAAAGAAAAGAAAAGAAATGACCATCCTCTTTTCCATAGTGGCTGTGTCATCTTTTTTTTGAGACAGTGTCTCACTCTGTCACCCAGATTGGAGTGCAGTGGCACAAATATAGCTCACTGCAGCCTTGACCTCCCAGGCCCAAGCGATCCTCCCACTTTAGCCTCCCAAGTAGCTGAGACTACAGGCATGCATCATGCCCGGCTAATTTTTTACTTTTATAGAGACAGGTTCTCCCTATGTTGCCCAGGCTGGGCTCAACAAGCTTACAATCCTACTCGCACATACGAGCGTTGGTGAGCTTTCAAAATCAAAATCTGATCATGGCCGGGCGAGGTGGCTCAAGCCTGTAATCCCAACACTTTGGGAGGCCAAGGCAGGAGGACCACTTGAGCTCAGGAGTTCGAGACCAGCCTGGGCAACATAGTGAAATGCCATCTCTGCAAAATATATAAAAATAAGCCAGGAATTGGTGACTCATAGCTGTAGTCCCAGCTATTCAGGAGGCTGAAGTGGAAGGACTGCTGGAATCTGGGAAGCGAAGGTTGCAGTGAGCTGAGATCGTGCCATGCACCCAAGCCTGGGTGACAAAGATTCTGTCTCAAAAAAAAGAAAGGCTGGTGGCTCGCACTTGTAATCCTGCACTTTGGGAGGCTGAGGCAAGTGGATCACGTGAGGTCAGGACCAGCCTGGCCAACATGGTGAAACCCTGTCTCTACTAAAAAAATACAAAAATTCAGCCTGGCATGGTGGCTCACACCTGTAATCTTAGCACTTTGGGAGGCTGAAGTGGGTGGATCACCTGAGGTCAGGAGTTCAAGACCAGCCTGGCCATCATGGTGAAATCACATCTTTGTAAAAAATAAAATAAAATTTTTAAAAAAGAAAAAAAAAAAAAATTCAGCCTGACCAACATGGTGAAACCCCATCTTTACTAAAAATACAAAAATTAGCGGGGCATGGTGGCACACAGCTATAATCCCAGCTACTCAGGAGGCTGAGGCAGGAGAATTGCTTGAACCCAGGAGGCAGAGGTTGCAGTGAGCCGAGATCATGCCACTGCACTCCAGCCTGGTGACAGAGCGAAACTCTGTCTCAGAAAAAAAAAAAATTGGCAGGATGTGGTGGTGCACCCCTATAATCCCAGACACTTGGGAGGCAGAGGCAGGAGAATCACTTGAACCTAGGAAGCAGAGGTTGCAATGACCCAAGATTCTGCCAGTGCACTCCAGCCTGGGAAATGGAATGAGAGTCTGTCTCAAACAAAAAATAATAACAGATGTGTGCAGAGCTGGCTCAAGGTGTGTGGCTTGGAATGGAATGATCCTAAAGCCAAAAGCCAGCTGGTAGAAGGCAGGGATGCCACCTAAAGCCAAAAGCCAGCTGGTAGAAGGCAGGGATGCCAAGTTTCGGCTTTGGATTGGACCCTTAGAGTAATGGGAGTCCCTTGAAGACATCTGAGCAGAGGAGTGACATGATCAGATTATTATTTTTTTTTTTGAGATGGAGTTTTCACTCTTGTTACCCAGGCTGGAGTGCAATGGCGCGATCTCGGCTCACCGCAACCTCCGCCTCCTGGGTTCAGGCAATTCTCCTGCCTCAGCCTCCTGAGTAGCTGGTATTACAGGCACGCGCCACCATGCCCAGCTAATTTTTTGTATTTTTAGTAGAGACGGGGTTTCACCATGTTGACCAGGATGGTCTCGATCTCTCGACCTCATGATCCACCCGCCTCGGCCTCCCAAAGTGCTGGGATTACAGGCTTGAGCCACTGTGCCTGGCCTCCCAGCTACTTGGGAGGCTGAGGCAGGAGAATCACTTGAACCAGGGAGGTGGAGGTTGCAGTGAGCCAATATTGCAACACTGCACTCCAGGCTGGGCAACAGGTTGAGACTCCATCTCAACAACAACAACAGCAGAGAGAGAGAGAGAGAGAGAGAGAGAGAGAGAGAGAGAGAGAGAGAGAGAGAGAGAGAGAGAGGGAGATTGAGAGGAAGGACAGGGCTGGAATAATCTAAGAAGGCTTCCTGCAAAATTATCCTAAAAGAAAGAGAGAGAGGGCCGGGCCAGGTGGCTCAAGCCTGTAATCCCACCACTTTGGGAGGCCGAGGCGGGTGGATCACGAGGTCAAGAGATCGAGACCATCCTGGTCAACAAGGTGAAACCCCGTCTCTACTAAAAATACAAAAAGTTAGCTGGGCATGGTGGCACGTGCCTGTAATCCGAGCTACTCAGGAAGCTGAGGCAGGAGAATTGCCTGAACCCAGGAGGTGGAGGTTGTGGTGAGCCGAGATTGTGCCATTGCACTCCAGCCTGGGTAACAAGAGCGAAACTCCGTCTCAAAAAAAAAAAAAAAAAGAAAAAGAAAAAAAAAAGAAAAAAAACTTGGAAGGCAGAGGTTGCAGTGAGCCGAGATCACACCACTGCACTCCAGCCTGGGTGACAGAGCAAGATTCTGTTTCAAAAAAAAAGAAAAAGAAAAAACCGTTTTAAGAGACAGGGTCTTGCTATGTTGCCCAGGCTGGTCTCGAACTCCTGAGCTCAAGTGATCTTCCCATCTCAGCCTCCCAAAGTGCCAGGAATACAGGCATGAGCCACTGCATCAGGCCAGGAAACAACTGTTGAACAAGTCATAGGAGGGAGGAGTGAGTCACTGGGAGCTGGGGAAAGAGGGAGGGGTACTGGAAACGGGGGGACGGTGCTGACCTTCCAGCTGCACATCTGCCAGCCACTCTGCAGGGCGGAAACCATGAGCATGGAGACAGACTTGACGGCCATCCTGGGCAGCCGCAGCAGGGATCGGCCCTGTCGGCCCAGCTCCGCCTCGGTCCCCTCTGCGGTCTTGGCCAACACGCAGGCATCTGGCAGCTCAGGGGACTCACCCAACTCGAGCTTAGCCTCTTTGAGGGGCTCGACCAACCTCAAAGTCTCAGACACCTGGAGAGTCTTCACCTTTTTCAATGAGTGTTTCTTGGAGGCAGGGTGTTCTAACATCGTTGGTTTCATTTTCTGTCTCCAGAAGAAAATCTGAGAACAAAGACACAGAGAGGAGAGGCAGGAGAGGGGGGCGGGGCAGACACCACCATCCACAGAAGAAAAGGCACAAAAGGGATGGAGCAGTGAGTTTCCTGGCCTCTCTTTCTTCTCCTCCGGTCCCTCCCCAGCTATCCTTTCCCTCCTCTCCACCCCGTCTTGTTTGGCCATAGGAGGCCAGAAAGGGAGGGAGCCCATGCCGTAGGGGGCTGCCCAAGACCCATGCCCTCGTCCCAGTGCACCAGGAGGACACAGCAGTCTCGGAAACTCACCCAGCCAGTAATCCTTTGCCAAGCCCTTCTAACCCATCGGAAGAACCTCATGACCACAACCATCTTTCTCGACAGGACAAACACAGTCGAGGGGGCAAAGCCAGCATTTGGTACGGTGCGGGTGGCGGGTGGAGGACAGGGTGGGCTTTGGGCCAGTGACCACCTCTCGAGGGGTCCTCTGGGAGCTTCAAGCACAGCAGTAAAGAAAGACGTAGGAAATACTGGGGGACAGTCCCTCCCGGTGACACATCCCAGACCTTTCCTCCTCTCCCTGGGACAGGGAGAGGAGTTGAAGTAGGTGAGAACCTACAGTGAGGGAGAGTTCTAGACCATTGTGAGGCTGTCTGGCCCTGACCCCAACCCCCAAGGTCCCGGACAGTCCATCTCTTCCACCCTGGTGCTCCTTTGCTCAGATCCAGGGAAAAGAAACTAACATGTAACAAACTAACAGGCACTGTCCCTGCATCGAGTCATGTAGTCCCTTCACAGCGGCCCTTCAAAGAAGATAATACTGTTAGTGCCACTTCCTCAAAGAGGAATCTGAAATTCAGGAAAGCTAAAGGGGGCTGGGCATGGTGGCTCATGCCTGCAATCCCAGTGTTTTAGGAGGCTGAAGCAGGAGGATCACTTGAGGCCAGGAGTTTAGGACCAGCTTAGGCAACACAGTGGGACCCCCGACTCACTATGTTTAAGTTAAAAAAATTTTTTTAAAAATTAGCCAGTAGTGATGGTGTGTGTCTCCAGTCCCAGCTACTCAAGAGGATGAGGCAGGATTGCTTGAGCCCAGGAGGTGGAGGCTGCAGCGAGCCATGATTTCACCACTGTACTCCAGCCTAGGTAATAGAATGAGACTGTGACCATGTCTCAAAAAACGAACAAAAGAAAGAAGGAAGGAAGGAGAGAAGGAGGAAAGGAGGGAAGGAGGGAGGGAGGGAAGGGAAGGGAAGGGAAGGGAGGGAGGAAGAGAGAGATGGAGGAAGGAAGGAAGGAGAGAAAGGAAGAGGGAAAGAAGGAAAAAATAAAAAGGAAGGAAGGGAGGAAGGGAGGGAGGAAGGGAGAGAGGGAAGGAGAGAGGGAGGGAGGGAGGGAAAAAACTTAAGGAGGCTAAATGTGGTAGCTCACACCTGTAATCCCAGACCTTTGGGACGCCAAGGTGGGAGAATTACTTGAAGCCAGGAGTTTGAGATCAGCCTGGGCAATATAGCGAGATTGCTTCTACAAAAATATTTAGGCTGGGCGTGGTGGCTCATGTCTGTAATCTCAGTACTTTAGGAGGCTGAGGTGGGCAGATCACTTGAGTTCAGAAGTTCAAGACCAGCCTGGCTAACATGGCAAAATCCCATCTCTACTAAAAGTACAACAAAAAAAGGCGGGGTGTGGTGGCTCATACCTGTAATCCCAGCACTTTGAGAGGCAGAGGTGGGTGAATCACGAGGTCAGGAGTTCAAGACTAGCCTGGCCAAGAGGGTGAAACCACCGTCTCTACTAAAAATACAAAAATTAGCCGGGTGTGATGGCAGGTGCCTGTAATCCTGTGGTGGCTACTTGGGAGGCTGAGGCAGGAGAACTGCTTGAACTTGGGAGGCAGAGATTACAGTGAGCCAAGATCGTGTCACTGAACTCTAGCCTGAGAGTCAGAGCAAGACTCCATCTAAAAAGAAAAAAGAAAAAAAAAAAAAATTAGCCAGGCATGGTGGCACACACGTGTAGTCCCAGCTACTCAGGAGGCTGAGGCATGAAAATCACTTGAACCTGGGAGGCAGAGGTTGCAGTGAACTGAGATCTCGCTACTGCACTTCAGCCTGGGCGACAGAAACAAAACACCATCTCAAAGAGATAAATGAATACATACATACCTACATATATACACATAGCTGGGTGTAGTGGCACATGCCTGTAGTCTCGGCTACTTGGGAGGCTGAAGTGGGAGGATCACTTGAGCCCAGGAGTTGAATACTACAGTAATATATGATCATACCACCGCACTCCAGCCTGGGCAACATAGCAAGACCCCATCTCCATGAAAATAACGAAAATTAGCTGAATGTGGTGATGCGCACCTATAGTTCAGGGAGGCCAAGGCAGGAGGATCACTTGAGCCAGGGAGATGGAGGCTGCAGGGGGCTGTGATTGTGCCGCTGCACTCTGGGCAACAGAGCAAGACCCTGTCTCAAAAAAAGAAAGAAGAAATTAAAAAAAAAAAAAAAAGAAAGAAAAGAAAAACCAAAGAAGTTGCCAAAAGTTATGAACCTAAGGAAACTAAGGAGGCAGAGACTCAGGGACTCCAAGGCAGGTCAGCCTCCAAGGACCTGGCTTCACAGCTTCCTTCTAGTCGGGGCCCCTTCTGCTTCTCCCAGGGCCCTCCTGGGGCTTTGGCGGCAGCTCTTCCCTCTTTCCCACTAGATGGGGTCCTTCTCCATTGCTGCTGACTCGCCTGGGACCAGAGCCCAGGCTGTCAGGGAGGGGCCACCTTGCCCACAGGGCCCGTCCTCAGCTGGCGGCCTGGGGGTGGGAGCCGCGGCGGCCGGCCAGGCCTGGCAAGGGCACCGTGTGCCCGGGGAGCCTGGCCCACACCCAGCCCCGAGACAAGGGGCCCATTCAGGGCCCCCCGCCCCGCCCCCAAACAGCCACCCAGATCCAGCCCGCAGAGGGGACACACTGGGAAGCTGGGGGGTGGGTCTTGGGCAACCACCAAAGGCCTCATTGTTTCCCGGCTGCCCCCCGAGCACGTGGGCAGACACCCCCCCGCCCCCAATCCTGGCCTGCCCCTTCCCAGGACCCGAACCGCTGGCTCCCTTCTCTGGCCTCTGTCTCGACCCTTACGTCTCCCACACTTTAAACTCCCCAGTCTGCAAAAGAAAAGATCTCAGGGGAGCCTGACGCGGCAGGCATGAACCCCGAGTCTGGACACAAGTGAAGAACGAGATGTCAACCTCCAAATTCAAGTTTCTTCAGAGTTTTTAATTATTATTATTACTTTAATAACAACCTGAATCCCAGAACTTCCAGATACTGTCCACACTCCCTCCCCTGGGCAGAGGAGAGGGGGCACCTCAAGGGAACAAGGTGGGGGTGGGATGTCTGCCAGGGAGCCTCCTACTCCCCCAGGCTGTCTACTGCTGGGGGTCCCACGAGGGAGGGTGGGGGCTGGGTTCCCTCCCAGAGGGGGGTCCCTCTGACACCCCATCCTGAAGCCCTCCCTCCCTCCATCAAGGCTGGGGATGATGAGGAGACGGGGCAGGGGCAGGGGGACGAGGCCAATGCTGAGCCTTGAACTCCCACCCTGGGGACACAGGGACATTAAAGCTGCATAGGAAGAGGGGGCAGGCGGCTGGCGCAAGGCCGGGCAGCCCCAAAGGCACATTGTAAGGGAAGGGAGGCTCAGACGGAGGGCCCATTGGGCGCGGGGTGCCCAAGTCGTGGGACCCCCGAGGAGGGCAGCTGAGCCAGCTGCTCCGGGCTGGCCAGGGCGCGCAGCAGCCCGTTCTCCTGCTCCAGCGCGGCGTTCCGCTCCGCCAGGTCCCGGATCTGCTCCTTCAGCACCTCCACCTCCTCCCGGACCGCAAACATGAGGTGGGACTTCACCAAGTCCTGGGGACCCCGGGACAGGCATGGGGTCAATGGGTGGGTGACTCATCCCCTGCCCAGTGCCTCAAGGGCCGGGGTGGGAGACAGTCGCCAGTGCCCAGAGGATGAGGGACAAAGTAGCGAAGGGACAGGGGACAAGGACAAGGGATGGAAGAAGAGTCAGGGCTCAAAGATAGAGATGGGGACCAGCAGCCTGACCAGAGACCAGGCAAAGTCAAGGGTGTAGGTGGCAGCAGGAGACGGTGGAGGATGCCCAGAGCCCAGCAGGGAAAGGGATGGAGGAGCTGGGAGTTCCTGCTCCCTGGTGAGGAAGAGAAACGGGCTGGGGCAGGGGAACGGCTTAAGGGGGCCGGGATCTCCTGGGACCAAGATGGCTTCTCTTACCATGGCTTGCTCGATTTTGTTGTCAATGCCAACCAGGCTTCCGGAGCCACTGGAGAGACACAGGAAGGTGAGGGGAGGAGAGGAGGAGCCTTCCCAGGTGCTGGCTTCTTGGACCACAGCCTCCCACCCACACCCCCCTGTACCTGTGACAGTAGAGAATGAGGGAGAGGAGGGTTTTGTCCATCCCCCTGCGGGCCGAGGGCCGCTGCCCAGGGCCCCCCAGGCCCCGGTGTGGCGGAGGCCCAGATGTCCCTCGGATGGGAGATGCACCCCGTGGAGAGCAAGGGGAAGAGGCACAGCCCCTTTTACGGGGCGGCCCCGGAGCCATCCCCACCACTCGGGTCTCATAAGATGACACCAGGGACTTGACAGAGACCCCTGGCTGGGCCATGCCCAAGGGAAAAGGGTCCTTGGACACCCACCCCCAACAGAGAGGGATGCAGTGAAGGGAATGCCTGGGGGGCTCAGAGCCCCCCGGGCAGAGCGGGATCTAGCTGGTGCCAGGCAGGCAGAGAGGAGACAGTGCCTCGGGGGTGCTGGCCTGAAAGATATACACCACCCCCCCAGGGCAAGGCCTGGCTGCTATTGGCTCCTTGGGGACACGGGGAACCCCCTCCCTTCGGCTCCTCGGTGGGCGGGAATTCCCAGGCACGGTCAGTGCCAGTGTCCCCTTCTCACCCTGGCACCGATCCCAGAGTAGAGGGGAGGGGGCTGACTGAGGAAGTCAGTTGTGGCTGGGCTCTGGGAGGGGCTTGGGGCAGAAGCCTGGGTCTGAAAGGGGAATGAAGGGTGTGACGGGTGAGGAAGGGCCTGGCGCTTGGAGGTCCCTCTCCACCTCTGACCCCATCCTGTCCCCTCTGTCCCTCAAGGCCTCGGGAAAGAGGGTGGAGGTGGCTGGGGTGGGGGGGGGGTCGTTCTGATGTGCTCATGGTCTTCCATAGATTGTGAGCGCTCTCCCACCAAAAAACACCACAGGGCTCACATCATAGGTGACCGCTGGGACCTGGCCAGAAGGTCCTTGACTTCCCACAGATAATACAAAAAATGGGAAAGGTTACCATGGTGACAGAAACTGAGCCCAGAGCCCTGTAAGACAAATATAGCCTAAAGGCTGGGCGCAGTGGCTCCTGTCTGTAATCTCAGTTTTTTGGGGGGCCAATTTGGGCAGATCACTTGAGGTCAGAAGTTCAAGACCAGCCTGGCCAACATGGTGAAACCCCATCTCTACTAAAAATACAGAAATCAGCCGGGCATGGTGGAGGGCACCAGTAATCCCATCTACTGGGGAGACTGAGGCAGGAGAATCACTTGAACCCAGGAAGTAGAGGTTGCAGTGAGCCAAGATTATACCACTGCACTCCAGCCTGGGCGACAGAGTGAGACCCTGTTTTAAAAAAAAAGTCCAGGCAAGGTGGCTCACACCTGTAATCCCAGCACTTTGGGAGGCCAAGGTGGGTGGATCACCTGAGGTCAGGAGTTTGAGACCAGCCTGGCCAACATAGTGAAATCCTGTCTCTACTAAAAATACAAAAAAATTAGCCAGGCATGGTGGCGGGTGCTTGTAAGTCCCAGCTACTCCAGAGGCTGAGGCAAGAGAATCGCTTGAACCCACGAGGCAGA